AGGTGCAGAGGGGACAGCGACCCCTCCCCCCAGTCTCAGCAGCTACAGACCAGTGTGAACAGGGAGAGGCCCGGGCTTCCTGATCTTGACAGTGCAGTTACAATTCTGTGCTGAAAGGTCCTTTGAAAGATTCGCTTCCACAGGTGTAGTACTATTCTTGAGCATTTGAAAAAGAAAAAGAAAAATTTAACCAAAACAAACTGGCCAACATTTTATTAGACCAGACACAGTGGCTCATGCTCGTAACCTCAGCTACTGGGGAGGTCGAGGCAGGGCGATTGCAAGTCTGAGTCTCACTTGAGCAATTTAGATCTCTTCTCAAGACAAAAATAAAAGTAGTTTAGTGAGGGGCTGGGGATTTAGCTCAGTGGCACTGTGCCCACCTCACAAGCACAAGGTCCTGTGCTGGATCCCTGGTGCCAATAAATAAATAAATAAATGACCAACCAACCAAAACCAAAAACCAAAAACAACCAAAACCCCCCAAAAGAAAAGTAGCTTAGTAAGAAGGCTCTGGGTTCAACCACCTCCCAGGCCCCCAAAAAAGTTTAAAAAGTGTCATCCTATGTAAAAGTAAGTTTTTCACAAAAGACAAAAACCTGAATATTCTAAATTTGCTGATCTTTTCTGTAAATATATAAATTCACAGTAGCATGCTAATAGATTTTGGTAAAAAAAAACAGTTGAAAAGACCCCCAAACCCACAGTTTTTTTTCCTCCCTCACTTCACAGTGCTGCTAACTCCTTGTGAAAACAAGCTATGAAGAGAACATTTTGAAACAAGTATTTCAAAATGTTGCCCTTGTGTTTTCCTACTTAGTTATCTGTCATCTACCAAACATCCTCTAAAAACTTGGAAATAATATGATGCCTTGTTTCGATTTCTCACTGTACCAAGACCTGTTACAGTTCATAGAACTAGAACTCAAAGAGAGATCAAATACAATAAAAATAAGACAAATTTTAGTAAACAGAACAAAGAGAAAGGCCCAAGCTGGCCGTGACCCTCGTGGGAGGAGCACGTAGTTAGCACCTGTCACCGAGTTGGGTGGGGCGCGACTACCTGAAATGAAGACTTTAGTCATTCGTGCAAAGCCCAAGAGGACAGACGACAGGAAGCGGGGAGAGGGGCCTCCTCCAAAGGGAAGGGGTGGAGAGACGGAGGAGGGGAAGGAGTTGGTCCGTCCTGGCTCCCAGCGCCCAAGCGTGGAATCTGAACACCCGTTCGTGTTCGATACAGACTCACAAAGGCCGAGACTGGGTGTCCTCACTGGGAGAGTTGCCTCTCGCAGAGGAGAAACCACGACAGGTTTCAGACAGGTTTTGCTCAGCATCATGGTCTCAGGCTGCATCCTTCTTCCTGCAAAGACTCCAGCTCATCCTTCCTTACGGTTTTCACACATCCGCCGAGCAGCCAGGCTCCAGCCTCCTGAGACTTTGCCCGCAGTTCCTGGTGCTGGGCCGCTGCTCCCCGACTCTGAGCCAGGGCGCAGGGACCACGTGCTGCTACGCAGTGACATGGGTGGGCGGCTCGGTGCATGTCCTGAGTGGAGGTGGCACGTGAGGGCACAGCTCATTCCTTTGGCTGTTAGCGGAGTGGCTGAATCTTCAAAACTTTGAGCTGAACTTAAAAGGGGCTGGAAAATTATAGAAACCTAAGGGAATGTTTAAATGTAAGAAAATGCCCTGCAGTAAAAGCCACACGGCCATGAGTCCCCCAGGTCCCCCCCTGGCTTTGCACACGCTCGGCCCCTTCCGGCAGCAGCTCGAGTCCTCTCTCCTGAGAGTCCTTAGCTGCGCTGTCCTGGCTGCCTCGATGTCCTGAGCCCATTGGAAACGTGTCCCTCTCCTGGTCATTTGACCTCAGGAGAGCTGGAAATCGCACGGTGCCAGACCTGGTGACCCAGGTGGACGAGGACGGTGCCATGTTTTTCCGAGTTGCCCTTCTGCTGGACGGCGCTCGGCAGCAGTAGTCACAGTTTTGATCCCACCTGCTGAAGACCCTCAGGAGAGAAGACTCCAGAGCCGCTGCCCAAGACGATGGGTTAAATGTGTGTGAAGCGAGGGGAGGGTTCTGAGAACTCGTGGCAGCTGGTCTTTTACTCCACTCCTTAGAAGCGATTTTTTAGAAGCGCTGACTGTGCTTTGCAGTCACACGGGGGCCCGGGACCCCCATGCCACCTGCGATGTCAGCACGGATGCAGCGGGGCGCTGGGGGTGACGGCTCAGAGCAGACAACGCGCTTGTTGCAAATCAAAAGCTCAATTCACTGAAGAACCACAGTGGCGGGACAGCCTTTTCTCGGAAGTGCAGGGTCGGTTTCCCTCTCTGATGCATCCTGCGCCCAGGCCCCTGCTGACACAGCCACCACGCCCAGAGATGCCGCTGTGGCACTCACGGGCGAGCGTGCGCTCGGGGCACACCTCCAACACGCTGATGCCCACCGCGTCTGGGAGGAGGCTTCAGTCACAAGACGTGGGGGCTTGGCCTCTCCAACCAAGGCCGGAAGATTTCAGTTTTCACTCCAGACTGTTAAAACTTGTTTTTCTTTAAAAATTTTTAAATTTCTGTGAGTCTGCTGTGCGCAATGATCACAATCCTTGCGGGGATTTCTTTTCCTGCCCGCCCCCGTCCATTCCTCGCCTCCGTCTCTGCATCCCCTTTCCATCTGCAAAAGATCCATCTCCTTGTTTCTTCTTACCTGTGTTTTATCTTGCTCATTATTTATAATTTGGGTTTCTCACACAGGAGAAACCATGTGGCATTTAAGCTCTTTCGTCTGAGTTATTTCACTTACTATCGTGGTCTCAAGGCGCATCCGTTTCCTACAGATGACGAGTTAGCCTTCTTTATGGCTGAGTAGTACTCCACCATGTGAGCAGCACAGGTGCTGTATCCACTCATCTGTTGGTGGACACACAGGCTGCTTCCAAGATTTAGCTGTTGCGAGTTCTGCTGCTATAAACATGGCTGTGCATGTAATGTAATGTGATGTCTTCAGCTCTTTCGGGAAGATGACAAGAAGGGGAACAGCTGGGTCAAGTGGACGCTCTAGCTTTAGGTTTTGGAAGAATCTGTGAGGGGCACGGAGGTACAGAGACGCTGGAATTAGGAGTCAGGTAGGCAGCAGACCCCACAATGAGAGGACTGACATAACGGGCTGTCAGGAGGAGGCCCAGATCGATGTCCCTTGAGTCTGGGGGGAGGAGCGTGAGTCCAGCTCTGTGCGCTCTGGTGTGAGGTTAGGCACAGCCCTGGACTTGGGAGAGAGATCGGCCCGGATTCAGAAGTCACAGCACCCAGGCGGCAGCCAGACACACGCGGATGCCTGCGACCCCTCAGGGCCACCCCCCACCCCGCTTCTCCAGACACAGCAACGCCAGCCTTCCTTTAATGACTGAGAAGCAAACAGGACAGGGGCAGGGAGAGGTGAGGGAAGACAGGGAGGGAAAGGGAAGATGGGAGAGGAGCAGGCCTGCAGAGCCTGAAGAGAGGGCCAAGCTGGTTCTGCCCCCAGGAGCACCTTCATTCACTGGAACCGTCCGGAAGGTCTGCCGGGAGCTCTGGACGCCACGGAGGAAGTCCTGCGGCCAGCTCCCCTCTGGAGGGACTGGACGCCCAGCCAGTGTGTGCCACAGGACAGGAGCCCCCGGCCAGAGTCCCATGGGTGTGACAGAGCCGGGCCCCCGGTCCTCCCGTGGGAGAGGCCGGCAGGAGACCGGAAACAGGTTGTCCCTTCAGGAAATGAGGCTCTGAAGAGAAAGCAAGAGTCTTAGACTTTCTTCTCCTTTCTACATCCAGGACTTCTCCCTGACATCGCCGGGCCGCGCAGACCCGGGGAGAGATTACTTCCATGGCGGGCTCAGCCCAGGGTGACAGGCAGCTGGCCTGGGACACACCTGTCCCAGCCATGCCAGCAAATCCAGAGCCCATGTCCCCAGCTGCCTCTGTCCACCTCTGCACTCCAAGTCTTTCCGCTGCCTCGAAGCCGGGCACAGCAAGGCACTGCACAGGGGAGACCACCCTGAGGACCCTGGACCGTGACAGTCACAGTGTCACCACCCTTCTCAGGAAGCCCCAGAGCAGCTGGGGCCACCCCTCCCCTCTGCTCTCCGCTCCAGACGACCCTGTCCCCGCCCTGTCCCCAGCCACCTGTCTTGGGGAAGCGTGGGGAGAGCGT